CCCTTCCACAGAGCATTGACTGTATTTGCATACCTTTTCATTGACAGTCGGATTGTCCTCCTCTACGAGTACAAAGAATCCTCGGTCCCAGTCCTGAACTAGAGTATGATCTGTCTGCTTTATCGGCTGCTCGTTGGAGAAAATCGGTAAGATTGGTGGTGATGAAGTATCATCAGCTACCTTACCCTGATCACCAGTAGCCCTTTTTTCGTCAAAAGTGGCGGGATCAATTGAAGTATTAAATATTTTCGTGTACGAAGTGTCCGCCGGGCTATTGTTATCAAAGATAACTGCTGCCCCTGCCAAGTCGTTAGTTCTTGCAGAGCCTTGGTCGTCTGTAAAAAATGGGCTAGCCAAATCTGGGGACCGGAAAGCGGTTGAATTGTTGAGTTTTGATGCTGGCATCAGCAGCCCTGTAGGTAGATAGTGCAGTAAAGTTTTAGTTTTACAAGTAGGTTTTCGAGACTCCAAGCAGATCATATATATATATATATATATATATATAATGATAAATATGGAAAAGGCCTGGCCTTCCTTGAAATTCGCGTTTGCACGTGTGACAGTGTGGCGTAGAGATCAACGTATCGAGACCATATTCTGCACTATCCGAGTTCGAGTCCCGCTTGGGGTGCTGATAAGACCTAAGCGTAGTCGAAACTGCAATCTACCATGGATGAGAAAGACTTTTTGGAAGCAAGGCCATGTGAAATATAATGTAAGCGTAAGGTCTACTCATCTCAATGTGAGAAGATACAACTCTTAGTCCTTTATTATGTTAAACGAAATAGAGTCAATACTTTCCATAGTCTAGTAAATAGACTGAATTCCGGTGGATAAAGATGAAACTATCTGGGAGTAAATAATAATTAATCAGACATGAACAAGGAATTTTATCGTGGGTCGAACTAAGGACAATTATTAATGCTCGATATCAAAAGAAATTGTTCAAAAAAAATGTATCACCTCAGATAAGCTCAGTCTCATTGGGATCGAATTATGTGTTCTAAAGGACCCTATAGTCCAAACAAAAGTATATCAAATAGGATGCGTCTTTCTGGGTAGTTAAAGGGGATTTAATGAAAGATAAAGTAGCGATATTGTTAAAAAAATAAACAAAATGTCAACGAAACAAAAGGTGATGAAATTTAAAACAGGCTAGGATTTCTCTGTTTTTAATTAAATCCGTTTATCTTCGGTGAAAGTTAATGCAGATTCAGCACCAGAAGTATTTCAAAAATAAAAACTGAAAATAAAGAGGATTCATGGAAGAAAGATGCATCGGCAAACGCAACCTTTGAGAGACTATCAGAATTTTTTACGAAAAAAGTGCTACCTTGTATGTAAAATTAGCTAATTAAGTATAATTATAATAAAATCGAAGCAGAGCATACGAACCGAATTTCCTTTGAAGTGCTGATTCAAAGATAGAAAGATTGAAACTCCAACTTTGACTAAACAAGCATGGCCTTGATGAGTAGTCGTTTGCGGTGAATCTCAATGTCAAGTCAGGCATTCACCAAAAACATCTAACGAGCCTGCAAAACGATAGGATAAATAATGCACCTTGACAACGAAGCTGTAATCAACTTTGGATGAGAAAGGCAACAGCTATGCATAGTTAAGTGAAATTCGATATGAAAACCAAGTCTTTTGACTCATCGTGGGGAGATTCGTAGTCGATCCAATTGTTGAAAATGGTAGACTTTAACAACAATCAGACTTGTTATTGCTACGAAAAGAAACTGTTAGTGACTAAGACTCAAAGCGTTTCTTAAAAAGAGATTAGATGATGATAAAGGAAAGATAATAAGGGGAAGATGACATTATGAAAGTTA